GCGTTTGGCGGAATTTTCTGTGGGGAGACGGAGTTCTTAAGAACAAGCTCTCTGCTTTTGGATTGTCTTGCAGAGAAGGAGAAGAAGGAAGGGGAAGAAGGGAGTTTTCATATTTATTGTAATAGAAAATAGAGAAAAAGAAAATTTAAATTATTTGTTTTTTCAATATTTTTGTAGGTGGTTCCTTTGGGTGGACTTTTGGAGGAGATCGGACGGTCCGATGGGGGGACACGTGTATGTTTGGTGATGTTTTATTTGTAAAATAATAGGTGCCAAGAAAATGAGAGGGAAAAGAAAAGGAAAAAGAGATATTTTTGTCCACGTCCCCAAACAACAGTAAACTACCTCCGGTCGCGCGAGTTTGATTAAACAATTGATTAAAAAAATAATGGCATCAAACCAAACAACAGTGTTATTATGTTATCCAATGATTTGGTGACTCTTGTTTTCAAAATCCTCTTTTTAACGGGTATTCTATGCTTTCCTCCCTTTCAAATACATGACATTTCAATATAAAAAATTCCGATAAGATGTAAAAAAATAGTCAGCACTAATAATTCGCGAGTTGTTAATACAGGTTCCGTTAGTGAATCCTTACATCAATTCATTTGACATCAGTTTCTAAGGACAGGAACTCAACAACAGATAGGTAGAGACCAGAAATCCGCATACGTACATTTGAAATAATAACATATCAAATATTACAATGAAATTCGATAACTGCTCATAGAATACCGAGAGTTTGTCTCGTGATTGGACATTACCGATTGCTTCATGGAAGAGAGAAGATAATAAAAATAATTACTCCACAATTCAATTATAATATATATTGTGATTTGCATCCCCTATAGGCTATATCTATCTTTGATTATATATATATTAACCCAAGATGATATCTATGGACCATGTATGATTAAGCTTTATTAATCCCATTTGAATTAATAACGAACCAATAATTTTGATGTTAAAAATAATAATGCCGTGTACCATACTTTATTAGATTGAGTCTGGAATATTATAGACTTCCCTGCCGGCTGCTCTCTCTGTTTCCACCTCCCTTATTAAAGTTTTTTTTTTAATTTTAATTTTAATTTTTTGTCAAAAATGGAACGAGCAATGGTGGAAAAAGTCGTTGATTTGAGATTGGAAGACTGGACTTCCCTGCCTGGTATTGCTATTATTTATTTACTTGCTTAGAAACCTACTTTAATTTATTGATGAATACGTGCATCAGTTAGAATTAATAAATACGAAGAGGAAATGATCGGCAAAAAGGGAGGATTGTGTTGTAAGTGTCACGTTGGGTTAATCCTGGCCGTCGTCTCTGGCTAGCTCCCAGACAAAAAGAAACAAAAGCAAAAAAACTAAAAAGGATTTCCAGCAAGAGAAGAGTGGGAATTCAGAATCACAAACTTTTTTTTTTTGTCTTATGTCCGATATCCCCAATTAAATAACGATAAGACATAAAGAAAAAAAGGGTTAGAAAATAGTACGTACAATATATTAATTTGAATGGAATTTCAAATGTTGGTTATAGTAGAAAAGGCGCGTAAGTATGATGTTTGTCAAGCGTAATCACAATTGAGTATGGAGAGTTTGTAAAATCAGTAGAAGGTATTACTAGGGCAGGAGTGCCAGCTGAGTGTGATTCGGAAAGTGGTGCGTTTGAGTCTTGATAATTAGTACGTCCCACGTTAGTCGTTATTATCTGTAATTCTATGTATAAATTGTTCGAATTGGATGTCTATTTCGAGCTCTGTCTTGTTTATGCCGGCTTTTAGTTGCATCAGTCTTGGCTTTGTTTGGAATTTTTCTTAGCGATGCAAGGGACAACATCTTTACATACATGCATGGCAGATCGTTATGTCTTGCCGTTTGTTTACCGATCCATATTCCATTTCCTCCGATCGCATGCGAATTAATCCAATCAGATGCAAATATCACCGATGAGTGATTCTCAACCGATTACCTCTAAAAGACCAAAAAAAAAAACATGCGAAACTTTTGCTTAAGTTTGACAAGTAAAAAAATCCGCATATTTTGGATTGCCACTTTCCATGCATTCGAAGAATTAATCTCTCTTTGATCCGGTATCATATGCGCAACTACAACTTTAATAACGATCTGTCTTTCTTCTATCCATTTCGTACATGGTAACTTAATTAGCAACAATAAACAGTAGTCAAAACTCATTTTTGGGACAATGATCGATCGAGTGCTATATATATATGGTCTGAGCTAGGGTTAGATCCAGTAGACCGAACCACGAAAAGAGGAAAAAGAAAGAGGCTCGGGAACCCAAACTGGGAAGAAGCAGCAGCAGCAGAAGAAGGAGAAAATGGGGCGCTGCCTGCCTGCCTGCCTGCCGTCTCTTCTGCCAAAGTCATAAGACTGAAGGACGGACAGAAGTCCTACACTACAGAAGAAGCAGGCTGCTGCTGCTGCTGCTATGAGCTAAGCCGAAGCTACATATCAGAATCAGAATATAGGGAGGGATTCGAACCAATGGCCAGCTGAGACAGCGCAGAGGGGGACCAGTTTATCGTACATTATTAAATTAGAGAGGCTTGGCTGGTGGTGCAGTGTTGCCGACTTAATTACGTACCCAAGTCAGTATACTGTACATTTTTTATGTGTATCGGATGGAGCGCTACCTGCGCTAGCGAGCTAAGCTCTTTTTTTTTCTGCTGCTTCAGTAATAGCCTGTGGCCACAACTGCGCCGTGGCTGCGGCGCCTGTTTCTGCTGCTCTCTGCCTGCCTGCCTGCCTGGTTGGGTTATTCATCGAAAGCTACTCACTCGCCCGCCCGGCCCACTTGTGCTAGGAAACCAGTTGTAGACAACCAATAGTTCCTCACGACCACGCATCTTCAAATGGTTGTTGTTTGGACGTACTAATACAATCTTAATTAGTTAGGTTAGGTGGGGGGTGTTTGGGTTTATAGATCGAATTTCGGTGAAAATGAATTGTGTGATTAGTTAGTTAGCTGATCGAGGACTATCACACCTATCCTCAAATGAGAGTTTTCATTGGCATGAGGGCAGTAGAAAAGGCAATGCAAAATGGACTCGTTTGAGCTATTGCAAACTTGACCATTCGGGTTTGGGGCACATTTCCGATGAAAAGGCCTCGCTTTAGTTGCCAACCCATTCCTGGAGCACCTCCCGATGAAAGAACTTAAGCTTAGGTGGAAGGTTCAAGCCCCACATCCATTTCCATTTGTCCACTGTTCCCATCGGTTGGAAGTTTGTGTTCGCTTTGTGAAAAGTGTGGTATGCCGTCTTAACCGAGAACATTCCTTCTTTAGTAAGATTCCACGCCCAAAAATCATCAACTCCAAGGTTACAGAATTATAGAGTGTTTTACGTAGGGTTTTTTTTTTCATAACGTCTCTGCACCTTACGTAACTCGCGGGTGGTATTAATATTTATTACGTTAGACGAACTACATGAATAATGTTGTTACAACTCCCACATTAATTAAGATAATAATTACAGGTGTCTTTCGGCAAACGCCATGAAAAAGGTTCCGTCGGGGTTAATAATATCCACCCGTCCGACAGCAACAACCATCGCCATTTGGCCTCTACCCGTTTGTTTTCTTCCTCGTGGCCTGGCCGGCGGTCCCCTCCCTCCTCCCCCGGCGCCACGCGTCGCCTCCACGTTTCATGGACCACTCGGAAAGCGACGTGGCGAATCCGAAAATGGGCCTTCTCTGTGGGCTGAGCGGGACATAATTTTTCTTTTTTCGCAACTCGCAGATGGCCTCGATGACATACACTGCACTCCGCTGCGCCTCCCCGCAGGGGACCACTCCCCCTCCATCTCTCTCTCTCTCTCTTTTTTCGATGGTCCCCCTCCCACTGTTCATCCCTCGTCTTGCGGGCTTCGGAATGTTGTGGGCCCATCCTGGAAAGTGGGCTCCATGGGGGGAAAGGAAGGAAGAGGATAACTCTGAGAGGAATAGTTCGCGTACGGCCCAATTTACTGTAGCGAGAGAGGTCTGTAATGGGCTTTTTCCAAAACCTTATCCTTTTCTGTTTTGTGGGCAGTGGATGGCGTCATCGAGGAGGAAACGGCGTATTTATGGAAGGCCATGTCCGGCGAGGTGTTTTGGTAGGTGGGTGCGATCATGTCGACTGTTCGATCGAGGTCGACTCGTTTTCCATATGTAAGGTCGGTGAGAAAAAAATAGTGGTGCCAATGAGTGAGGTTCTTGGCATGTCGAAAGACCCAACAAAAAAAAAAATGGTGTTGAAAAAGGAATGTGGATAGAGAGATAACGGTAGTATGAGTAAGGCAAAGTAAAGATAGAAGTATTTTTGGGATAAAATGAGTTGAGAACGAGGAGACGTGTTGGGTAACGAGATGGTGGGGCATGAGAAGAGGAAAGAGGACCATGCATTTACAATACCGATAAAAATATAATATGATTAACTTATGTTAGTCGTAAGTCGTAATCAAATGAGACGAGTCAAGGACGAACGAGTCATCATGACGAATTCCTCATTCACACTGGTGTCAGTGGCCTTGCATCTCGAGGAGTTGTCAGAGCACAAGAGGTGCAAACACACATAAATATCCACTATAGAAATTTTCAAAACTGGATCTGTTCGTCTGTGAAAGTTCATGACTTTTATGAATAATAACGTACTTGACATTCTAAGTGATAATGTCGGTGTTGAGCTAGCTAACATCTAGATTGAATATAGGAGCTAGCTAGCAGTCTGAATTATTGAATACATATATGTATTTGCTACCACAGCTACTCAGAAATAGATGATAACGTCCACCACACAATTTACCTGGGGATCGTGTGGATGAGGATTCTAACGAATCAATGTGATACAATTGACTCGTTTTGAGACAATTGGACCAAACTAACCCATTTCACCTCATAAAATTTGGATGTTGTAATTTGTCCTAAGAAATTTTTAATTGTCACAAGACAATTACAATCGTCTAGGATGGGACAGTTAATTCAAATTGATTAGTTTTGTAAAATGACACAATTAATCAAATCGTCCCGTTTTTCAAATCATCCATCCAAACCACCCTTAGTTCAGAACAATTCACTTAATTTCCAAAAGGTGACTATATTATGAGATCTAGCCTTTTTTTTAATATCTGGATTTAAAAGGGAAGAAAAGGACTTGAAAAAAAGTCGAAAATAAAAAGGGAACCCAATACCTTTTTCTCCACCAAAACGACACCGCTTGGAACAGGTCCCTACATTCATCGACCCATTATGGAGGCCAGGGAGCATATGCCAATCGGCCTAACTTTCACAGAATGTGCGGCCTCCCCCGAAAGTTCAAAGAAGGAACACATCAATCCCCCATAACACTGTTGCTCATCACGCCTTGGGAGAGAAACGTGAGAGCGAAGGCAACTTCAATACAGAGCCAAATTCGAAGGACCACGGACGAGATCAGACCAAAGTAATGATATGACAGTAGTGAACGAGCTAATAATATATCCAACTAAGGTAAAGATGGAGAAAGGGATGGCTTTGTGACTCGGAGCTCCCCACAGTCGCTGATGAACACGGTTTTCAGCGGCCGGTTCCAGCTCGAGCGCGCGTTCTGCGCCCTCTCGTCGCCCAGGAACTCGGCGAAGTCGTTGAACTGCCGGATCCTTTCTCCCGGTTTGTAAGTTGGGAGCGAAGATATCGCCGTCACGACGTCCAGACCTGCATCATCATTGTCATTAGGAACCATATTGCAAGTGTTAAGAGATTTGAGTTCGAAAGATCAAACTTTTCTTTAAACATGGGAGAACAACAAGTGTAAGAATCCATCCAAGGCTGTCATTCATTGGTATTTGCAGCAATCACAAGCAAAAACCACAAACAAATGGGTTTTCCCAATTGTGTGATTGAATTGGTTTCCAAGTACATGGATCTAATGCCTACGCTCCATCAAACGAAAGTCAATTCATCCCAATACCACATGAAGAACCACTTCATTCTGATAGTTGACAAGAAGTGAAACGATTTGGAATTACAGCCGCATAGTATGAAAACTAGGTCCATTCAAGAACCTATGCCCAAACAAGACAGCACTACCTAGGGTTGAATACTTTAGCCTTGTTGTCAGGATTACTACTCACTAGCTGGTCTCACTCAAAGAGGAGATATCAGAAACTACCCCGAAAGGAGGAGTAAAGATTCCCCATAGCCAAACGTAGGAAGTTGACAAATTAGGCACTAGAGATTAGGATTCATATACTATTCTTAAGCAGACTCATCTCAAAAAGTATGCGAACCCACCTCCGGGGGCAATAGAGAGGGCAATCATTGAGTTAACTTGCGTAAGCAACAAGATAAAATGCAAAACAAAGTACCCTAGCATATTAATCTCATTGGTGCTAAGAAGGATAGAATAGAGTTCTATTAGCTGGTCATTCTTAGACAACTAGATAATCATCAGAAGTTAAAGGAGACTAGGTTAAGATAAAGCATCCACATTGTCCAAGTCCTATTCTATCCTATATCAGCCGTGCTAAGCGAAAAAGGGGGAATAGAAAGGGCGTGTATCTCAAGTTCTATCAGGATGTAAACCCATAGACAAATGAGAAAACGTGATGCAAAAGGCTGAAAGGAACATATGACTCTGCAAACGTTATTGGCATCTATTCTCAGAATTCCACCATTTACAAAAGGAGGCATCTTTATAATGATCGGTTGACAGCTGAATTGACCCCAGAAAGAAACAGCAGCTATATCTTGATCCTAGTACACCAGAGCCAACTATCATGAACTGAAATTTAATCCATTTCACCTACTTCTGTCAGCAATTGAATGCATATTGCATATATTCACAGACTCCTGATCCAAACCATGGCAATTGGCAATCACTGATTGCATCAACAATTTACAGATTCTAAGCCCTGGGTTATCATCCATTCACTAATCGAAATTGACTTCCCAATCCACTAACAATCTCACCACTGAAAACCTGACTCGGACAAAACGTCGAACACCTTACAGGCGAAAACAAACCACACTAACCTTCAAGCACATGCCCGAAGACAATGTTCTTGCCATCCAATTCAGGGCAAGGACCGGGCCCCGTAGTGATCAAGAACTCCACATTCCTGTAATTCGGATCCAGCTTCACATCATCCTCATCATCGTTCTCCGACAAGCACAGCGACAGAACACCGCCTTTCGAGTGTGCGAGCCGAAACGCCTTGGGATCGACAGCCTCGACGTTCCTCGGCAAGTCAGCGGGGGGTCTGACCTCGCCCAATTCCCTCCTCCCCTGCCTTCCCGCGAGGAAGAATTGCCCCGGCAGGACCTTGTGAACTAAAGTGTTCTTGTAGGAGTACGAATTGACCATGGATTTGAAATTGGACACGGTGGTGGGGACCAAGTGCCCGTAGAGCCCGAGGACGAGGCGGCCGATGGGGAACGGCTCGGTGCAGAGCGTGGCGACGGTGTCGGAGACGGTGCGGTCGGGTTTGTTGTAGGCCGGGCAGATGGAGAAGTCCATGAAGATCCGGTCGGTCACTGTGGTGTCCGGGGGCGGCGGCGGCGGAGGGGTGATGGTGGCGAGGGAGGTGGAGAGGAGGAGGGAGCGGCGGGTGAAGGCGGCGGAGGATGGGAGGAGGTGCGGCGGCGGAGGGGTGAGAGGGAAAGACATCGCGGCGGTGGTGAAGTGGTGGTGGGAAAAGGCATTGTTTTGGATGTGGTGGCGGGAGATGAACCGATGGTTGGTTGGTAGTTGGAGATGGAGGGAAGGGAGAAGGCGGGGTCCACGTGTCTGGATAAAAGATGATGACGTGGACGAACTTCACCAAATCGACGTCGTTTAAATTTTTTGATTTAGCACAAACTCTAATAAAATTAGTCTAATATGATATACCATAGTTCTAAATCCTCAAAATAAAAGTAAATTTTGATTGATTTTTTGTGCAAATTCATGCATTTTCCTATCTGTCATATTACAGTTAACATTGTTATGACATTAATTTGTCGACGAAAATGAAGAATATGAGATGTATGAAAGTGAATGTACTGAAAATAAAACGACTATTCGAATGCAAATATGCAATATAAATCAAATTACGCAATTGATAGATAATAAACTTGCATGAAAAATTAGAATATTATCTCTTTAAAAGAACAAGTTACAAGTTTACTGTTTCATAGAGTCACGTCTTAACACTGTTTTTCTTTGACACATTTTTACTGCGTTCTCGTCTGTAATCATTGCTTTCTCTCTCTTTCCTCTCTGCTTTTAGCCTGGGTTGCTTCGCCAGCGACTTCTCTTCTCTCTGCAACTTATCGGTTTTCGGAACTCCTCACCTTTCCCCTGAGAAATGACAGGTCTGGCGCTTCCTCATCTGTTCCTTTCCCCACAAAAGTCTTCTTTTGCTTTGCTACCTTTCATTTATGCTCCTCACAGACTTTCCCTCTTCTATCTTGCTTGCTCGCTTGCTTTCTTCTATTGCTCTTCCATGGTGACCCATAAATTGCTTCTTGACCTCAGCGACTCCGATGGCCTTCAGACTCTTCTGAAACTGCGCCTCCTTCATGCGTGGGGGTCTTATGGGCTGAAGAATCCTACATTAATCTTCAACTACTGCACTCTGTGGAATGATGAGGAGGTCAGCGCTGCTTTCTTCTTTATTTTGCCATGCAATCTTGCGCCTCCCTTCTTTTTACAGCCCTCTGATGTTCGTTTCTTTTCTGGCCAGGGTACTTTGATTCAGGGCACGGCTCCTTCGGAACTCACGCGCCATTTCTCTCCGCTTCTGCAGTTGGGTAGCGTTTATTTCGTGAGCAACTTCCGCGTCAAGCCACCGGCCCCTTCGTATCGTTCTTGCTCTCATAAGTTGACCATCGTCCTCTCTGCTGCTACACAGTTCGAAGACGTGACCCGTTCGTCACCTTCATTCTGGCCAGATGCGTTCGAATTTACCCCGTTCAGCTCGCTTCATTCCCGCATACGTTCATCGGTCTATCTGACAGGTCTTGTCCTGTATTCTTTACGTCTCTTGCTGTCCGTTCTGCACTGTACTGCTTACCACCCTTTCCTCTCTTCTCTTGCTTGTGCCTCTGTCAGATGTCGTTGGCGCTGTTGTTAGCATCACAGGCGTTTCTAGCACTGTTACTTCATTCGGTACCACTGTGCGGAGTGATTTGGTGCTTCAGAATGAAAAGTATGTTACACATGCACACCACTGCTTTATCGACTGTGCTACATTTGTTACTTACTTTCGCTGTTTTTTTGCCCAGTCACATGTTTCTTGATATCAGTCTGTGGAGTGATATAGCTCGGAATCTCAATGGTCAGGAACTGGCTGTCCTTGGTCGTTCTGGGCCAGTCATGCTTGCTGTTTGCTCACTGCGAGTCACTGGCGCTACGAAAGGTCTGCATGTACCTTACCGCTGCACTATTCTCCGTTTCATTTCCCTTCCTCCTTTCCTTATTACCTTCACCCCTTTTGTAGGAGGTTACTCTCTGACCAGTACTCCAGGCACACGTTGTGTTCTCAACCCTGTTTCTGAAATGGCTCACCTGGTCCAATCTGTGTATGTCTTTTCTTATCCTCCTCATATTTGTTTTTCCCTTCGCATCATCAGCTGTCTTTTTTGTTACTGCTAATTTGTTTCGTTCCTTGCTTTCGCTTCCGTTAGGTTCTTTGCCAGCACTAATACATGTCAATATTACCCTCCGAGGTTTGCAACTCCTACTGAGGCAGCGGCCTTCGAAGCTGAATGTACGAAGACTGTGTCACAACTGCTTGCTTTGTGTTTTCCACCTGTTGCCGATGTATGTTTTTTCCCCTTTTGCTCTCCAACTTACCTGCTTTTGTTCCTTTCACTTCATTTGTTTGTCCGTCTAATCATTTCTTCCGTTTACTTTTTTTTTAGTCTACGCGTTACCATTGCTCTGGTCGGATCGTTTCGGTTGATTCTTCTATGCAGTGGTACTACTTGGGTTGTGCGCTTTGTTCCAAAGCAGCCATAGATTATGATGGTGTTGACAAATGGTGTGATGACCACCGTCGTTTGGTGCCTCAACAAACACAGAACTTGTAATTCCTTTCTTCATTCTTGCCCCCATACCTTTTGCCTATTTCTCGTGTCCTCATACGCTCCTGTACACGTTTTTTGCAGTTACAAACTTCGGGTAACAGTTGATGACAACACTGGATCAGCAGCTTTTGTTCTGCTGGGTAGGGCCGCTGACCTTCTTGTGGGCTTGACTGCTAACGATCTCTCTACTAGGTTTCCTTACCAGCGCAATGTTCTTCCACAAGAACTTCTGGCTCTTGAAGGACGAGACTTTACTTTTGACGTCCAGCTTCCAAAACCGGAATATGGGGCTCGTGGCCCGCCAGAGTTCACGGTCCTTGCTGTCAATGAGCAAGAACAAGCCAAATTCCTGCTCACCAACTCTTAGTCGCCGGTCAAGAAATGCTATTGCCCCATACACCACCTCCTAACAGGTTTTTCCCGTGTTCTCCAGTTTGTGGAACAGTCCCCTTTTGTTCATTACTAATCGCTACTTTCCGTTGCAGTCCTCACTTGATGCCTCTTACGTCTCCATATGTTGTTCCAACAATTCAGACCGCTTCGGTAGACCATGGTTCTTCTATTGCTTCACCAAGGTAATGCTTCAATTTTACATGTCCCTCTTTCGCTGGTTGTTGATTGTCTTGAACTCGGGTTCCTTCTTAAATTTGCAGTGGGAGTTCTCAGCTTGCATTTCTACTCCTCCACGTCGCCCCTACAACAGGTCTTTTGTACAGCCCACTTTGCTTTACAAAATTAACAAGCTCTTCTTTGGACGCTGTCGAACTCTTTCCCTATGTGTTGACATTTCTTCTCCATGCGTTGTTTACCGTCAAGTTCCAGTAGGCGCATCGCTGCTGTATCCTCACCCTCATCTGCTGCATTGGGAAGGTTGTCTGTTTGTTGTCTGCTTTGCTAGCTCAGTGCTGCTTATACACGTTCTGATGTCGTTTTCTGACATGTTTCTTTACAACAACAGTGTCGTAGCTCCTTCTCCTGAACTGGTCGTACTGAGATTGTTTCCTATGCGCGGTCAGTTTCTTGCCTTTTCCTGTATTACCTCAAGCGTTCGACTTAACGCCTGCTTATATTTGTCAATGACTCTTGCACACCCGTTTTAACTGCTTCTTAGCCCTAGAAGTGAGGAAGTGCCCCCAGAAACTGCAACACAGCGATCCCCACAGTACCTTCCCTCCTGTTAACTTACTTACTAGCTTTACGTGTCTCTTTCTTTCCTTCCTGAGCATCTCTGTATCAGGGAACTTGCTTCGGACACTACAGATGCTACTGTGCAGAACAGACCATTAGTTCGCAGAAAGCGAAGCCGAAGAAACCATCTGCTAAGAAGAAGTCTCTCTGCCCTTTATTACTTACTATGTTTCTTGTACCAAATTACCATATCCTACATTAGGTCTTAGTTTCCTGTTTACCTTGCTTCTGTTTGCATGTTGCCAATTGACTTTGGTTTTTTTTGCACCCTTCGTTCAAATGTGCCCGCCATTGTTATTTCGTTTGGTTGGTTGTTAACTGTGCATACGCCACTATTGTCTCTTGGAATTCTTTTACTTATCATAGTATCCTGCATTGTACTTCGGTTTACTGTCCTTACCTTATACAGCTTTGTTGGACTTTTGCAGGAAAACTGGAAGTCCAAGTGTTGCGCGTCGTCCTGCAGTTACTCTTGCAAAAACCGATGTTCCAATATCGTCCCTTGAGATCCCTACTGGACATCCTTTGCCAACCGAATCGGCGAATCCTGACTCTGGAAATCTTAATGGCCTCGGTGTCAATTTGCAGACAACAACACTTCAGCCTTTGTCACAGTATGTGTCGTTCTAATTATTCGCTTGCCAGTGTTGTCTGCTCCTAGAATTCCAGTTTGCATGCTTTTGGTGCTCTTTTAAACCTGATAACAAAAGGGCTCCAGTCTGCACAGAATACTTATTTTGACGCAAAAAGAACTGCAACCAATGCTTTTCAATTACATTTGGTCTTCTGCTTTTATACATGGTTTTAAGTTGTCACCATAAAATACAATCGCCGATGGATGGCCTTTTGTATCCCTTTCTTCGCCTTTCGCTAACTACACGTGTTCTCAATGTGCAGACATACAATGTTACCTTTCAGTGGCCATACTAATTATCTACGAATGTTCTCCCTTTTTTGTTTATACAGACCAAAATAAACAAATAGTTGTGGCTTCTGCTTACTTGGTCAGCTTCAAATCAATTGTTTTCCCACAGTTGAAGTAATAATCGTCTTTACTGTAGGGAGATTCCTTGTGCAGTGGGTTCTTTGTTGTTAGTCATTATCTTATTCGTGCTTTGCAAGTTGCTCCCGCATTGCATAGGAATGTGCATGTTCTTCCATATAGATGTGTTTTTACAGACCTACTTCCTTTGTCTCCTTTTCTAGGCAATCTGTGTCTATACATCCTGCACCTGTACGTCGCCGTCGCTTGGTTGTTTCTTCTGATGAAGACGAACCTGTTGTCCCTTTGGAATTGCAAGACTTGGACGTTGAACTTCCACTGCAAGAACAGGCTATTGAAAACTCTTCGACTTGTCCTGTTCCTACCGTTGACTCTGCTTTGCCTTCTCCTCTTCTTGCTGGCCAAGAAGTTCCGCTACTTCCAGTGGGGAAAACTAATCCTGGGAGGGCAAAGCGAATTAGGACACCGTCTGCAAAGGCCATTGAAGCATCTGTGGATGCCTCTAAGAGGAAGCCAAAAAACTCCAAGTCGTCTGCTAAGGAACCTGCTAAGAAGCAACTGTTTGCTGATTGACCATGCTTCGCATCATGCGAGTGCTAATGTAACATGTTTGTGCAGTGCTGTCCCTCCCTTTCTTTTGTGTCACTTTTAAAGGGAAACACTCTTTAGTGAGTAGTGCACTATGTACTTTTGCCTTTTGTATCTACATTTGCAGCCCTTGCCAAACTTGTGTGTTCCATTACTGGCACACTTTTACCAATCTGGTCCTGCTGTGACATTTTACTTGTATTAGTTACCTCTTTGTCCAGATTACCCCTTGCGTACCTGCTTTCTAACCAGCTCTATGTCGTTACCGTAAAGCACATTTTGCATGCCCTTCTTTAAGTGGCATAGTATCGCGCCACTCTGCAACTGATCTTTAGTTTGTGCTAAGGAACTGGTTTACTTTGTATCATCATTTGTTGGGCGGAATTTTGCCGTTTAACCCGCATTCGCATCGCACCTGTATCTACTTCGTTAGCCAGTTGTTTTGCTCTTTATTCGCAGGTGGCCATTGTCTGTTGTAAATGGCCACTTTGAGGACCACATTGTGCACACCCTTTCCGCTTGCAGGGTAGTTTAGATGGTGTCTACCAGCCACACAGAAACTAGATATTTAGATTGTCCACTAATACTATGACTTTGTTTACTAGCTTCCATAGACCCAAATTATAAACTTATTCCTCTTCTATTAATTGCCATCATGCATTTATTGTTCTGACTACTCTGTTCACTAATGATGGCTTTATTACTTCTCACTTCTCTAGACTAGCCTGCTATGGTGCATGTTGTATTATTATACTTTTTCTTGAGAAGGATCTTTCCCCCTGGAAACACCGTTTACCTGTAGACTGCCTTCTTCCATAACTGCTTTCCCATTACTGCTTCTTTTTGCTCATTCTGTCTTTGCTGTTGGCCATTGAATTAAATTCTCTGCTACATCTGCTATACTATTACCTGGTATCTGCCTTCCTCTGCAAATCTGCCAGTGTTTGTATTCCACTGTACCCGTTCAGAATGCGTGGCATGGTTAGTTTGGCCAAATTATTACTTTTATCTTACTACATTTACCATTGTGTTCCTATATCATGCTACGCTTGTGCTATACTTTCCAGGTCCTGTTTTTTTCCTAACGTCAGTGTGTGATCTTAGGCCACTCCTAGACAGGCTGAACTCCTACTACCCGGTCGTTCAGCGAATAGGAAGCGTCGTCATATTGGTCTTTCCACTGAATTTGTACCTACCACACCTCCTTCGAGAAGTTCTCTGAGGCGTCGTGTGTGCAACTTTGATAGACGGGGACGCTTGCACCCACTGCTTGACTCAGAAGGTGAACTTGACGCATCCGAACTTGACTTAAGAACTCCTGAAGACTTAACAGCCAGCTCGCAAACTCATCCTCCTGTTGCGTTGGATGGTCATTGTTCATTGGCTGATGTACCTCTACCACCTTCACAACAAGCAAGATTCAGTCGGATTATCGATCATGGTTTCCCTGACTGTGAATGCCAGTACTGTGGTGCACGGTTCTGGTATGAAGAGCGGCTGAACAGGCATGCATCTCTTGCTCCTGTTTTCACGCTTTGTTGTCAAAAGGGTCGAGTACGCCTCCCATTCCTACAGGAAACTCCTCAGTACCTTGAAGACCTCTTGGGTGTTAATGGCGGTCCTATGGCAGCGCACTTCAGGGAACATATACGCTCCTATAATGCTGCGTTCTCTTTCACATCTTTTGGAGCACGCCTTGATCCGAGAGTTACACGATCACGAGGACCTTATTCATTTGTGATCTGCGGAGAAAATTATCATCGAATGGGATCTCTGCTTCCTGCTGCAGGTCAGAGACCTAAATATTCTCAGCTATACGTCTTTGACCCGCAGACCGAATTAGCAGATCGACTCTCCAATTTCTCTTCTGCTGAGCGGTCCCTGCGTCCTGATATTGTTTCTGGTTTAATGAAGCTGTTTGACGTGACAAATGAATTAGTTAAGTCTTTTAGACGAATTCGATCTGAATTGAATGATCCAGCATCAATCAATTTAAGACTGCGTATTGTTGGTGCAAGGGACACAACATCTCGACAATATGAACTTCCAACTGGTTCAGAATTGGCTGGACTCATTCCTGGTGATTTCTTGCCTGATAAGGAAGAACGAGACATCATTATCGATCATCGGTCAGAGGGCTTGAAGAGGATCACAAGTGTACACCCGAAGTTTGATGCTTTGCATTTTCCGGTTCTTTTCCCATACGGAGAAGATGGATTCCATGTAACCATACCGTATGACCCTGTTCATACTCCCAAAACATTGAAAAGGAAACATGTGACTCAGAGAGAGTACTATGCTTACCGGCTTCAGCACAGAGACGACGAAGGTCAGACATTGATGCGAGGTGGGAAGGCACTTCAACATTACGTGGTTGATGCATATTCCACAATTGAACAAAACCGACTCTATTATTTACGATCGCATCAAGAAAACCTCCGTTCTGAACTATACTATGGCCTTACAGATGCTTTCAACAGAGGTGATGTTACAGGAGATGCTGTTGGCCATGTTGTTCTGCCATCATCGCATACTGGAAGTCCTAGGTACATGAAGCAACTGTACTTAGATGCAATGGCTGTTGTCCACCATCATGGCAGCCCCGACCTATTCATAACCTTTACGTGCAACTCCCAGTGGCCAGAAATAACAGAGTCTTTTCGCGCTGTCTGTGGTGCACGCAGCGAACTCAAACCAGAGATTGTTGCTAGGGTCTTTCGCATGAAACTGAATGCACTGGAAGATGAATTAACACGAGGCCATTTCTTTGGTCAAACAGTGGCAGGTCTGTTCGGTTGCCTTATGTCTTACTTCCTTTTACAATTGCCTGTTATCAATTCTCCTATTCCTGTCACTCTAAACTTCCTCAGTTACCTCACGTTTTGTGCTCTAACATAAATGACACATTCCATTGCCTTATAATTCCAGGTATCAAAACCGTCGAATTCCAGAAAAGGGGTTTGCCCCATGTTCATATACTGTTATGGTTGGATGCAAAGAATAAGCTACGACAAGCTTCTGATATTGATGCAACTGTTAGTGCTGAACTGCCAGATCCATTACTAGATCCAATTGGGTATGATGCTGTGACAAAGTTCATGCTGCATGGTCCGTGTGGTCAAGATAATCCGACCAATGTTTGCATGAAAGAAGGATCGTGTTCAAAGTATTTTCCAAAACCGTTTAATTCAGAAACTACAACGGACCAGTTTGGCTATACAGTCTATCGCCGTCGCGATACAGGTATAACAGCAGTGAAAGGTACATCTATACTAGACAATCGGTTTATCGTTCCATATAATCGGAATTTACTTGTGCTGTTTCAAGCTCATATCAATGTCGAGGTCTGTCATCAAGGCCGGTTGATTAAATATTTGTTTAAGTACATTACAAAAGGGCCTGATAGATCCATGGTTCTTGCTGAAACTCCTGGGTTGTCTGTATCTGATTCTGCTACCCCAAACCATATCCCTCCATTGGACGAAATTAAACAGTTTCTTGATTGTAGAAGTCTGTCTTCATATGAGGCAGCGTGGCGGATCTTTGAATTTCCTGTTCATGAACGAACGCCGCCGGTTCAGCGCTTGTGCGTTCATCTTGAAGGGAGACATTATGTTCCTTATAGGAAGAAACAACGGCTGTCTCGAATACTTGCCCGCGATTCTGTTTCAGAAACAACATTGACACAGTGGTTTAACCTTAACCAACGAGATCCAACTGCAAGGGACCTACTTTATGCCGAGACTCCGAATCGTTATATATGGAATGTGAAAACAAAAAAATGGGCTCCGCGGAAAAGAGGGTTCTCAATTGGAAGAATTGTCTATATCCATCCAGGTTGTGGTGATACATTTTATCTCAGGCAACTTCTTACCAAAGTTCGTGGGTCAGTTAGTTATGCAGCTCTTCGGACAGTCCATGGCTTCCCATGTAGAACATATCAAGATGCGTGCCAGCGCCTTGGTCTTTTGTCTAATGATGATGAATGGTTACTTGTGATTAAAGAAGTCAGCCAATGGGGCATGTGCCGCTTGTTACGATACCTCTTTGTGTCCATGCTGATGTTCTGTGAACTATCAAACCCACTGCAGCTTTTCAATCAGACATGGGAATTGCTTTGCGAAGACATCACATATAGGTGCCAACGAGACGTTTGCTTCAACAACAACCTCATACCACCTGAATTGCCCAAAAATAAATTGTTGTGGGAATTGCAGCACATGTTAAATGCTTATTCAGCCACGTTATCTCATTTTAACCTTCCCTTGCCAACAGATGATCACCCACAAACTGATCCCTTGCTTCAGTTTGGAACTGATTCACATCCTGGTACTTTAGCTGCTGTGGATTCCCCACCTCCTGTGGTTGGTGATCTTAACAGAAAGCAACTTGAAGCTTTTCATTGTGTAATGGAATCTGTTATGTCTCCAACAGAAGACTCGCCTACATTCTACTTTCTGTATGGTCATGGAGGAACAGGCAAGACTTTCCTCTACAGAACTATTCTTGCGCAACTTAAAGAAGCTGGAAAAATAGTTTTGGTTGTTGCTTCTTCAGGAATTGCAGCAACATTACTTCCTGATGCAAGTACAGCTCACTCTCGGTTTAAAATACCACTGGAAATCGACCATGGTTCTTCATGTAATATCAAGAAAGGTACGCCATTGGCTCAATTGATCATTAATGCATCGCTTATAATATGGGATGAAGCCCCAATGGTTCACAGATTGTCTTTTGAGGCAGTAAACAGAGCTTTTTGTGATATTATGGATGTTCCGTTTGGTGGTCCACACTATAAACCGTTTGGTGGCAAAGTTGTTCTTCTTG